ATTATTAAAATTATGGCATTCATTTAACTGAAAGTAAATACAGAGAAAATTATTTTTCAACTTCATAAGATAATATTTTGTGAATGAATATAACTGGTTTCGATTCTTAAATCAATCCTTTTTAATTATGCAAAATAATATTAAGGAAACGGAATCATTTATTTTGTATTAAATAATTATTACATACAATTATTTGATACGAAGAATTTATTTGCAAACTGGTATCGTTGATTCCTTTATAGGCTTTCATTATTTCTTCGCTTTGAAAGTCTTTTTTTTCTTTAATCCTCGGCTGAGCGTTGAATGTCTATCAAAATTAGCTGTTTGAAATAAGTTTATATTTAATATAATAATTTATTTCATATTTCACTTTTGCTGTAATGTAATGTGTATAGCAATATAAAAACAAAAATAAACATACACATACACACACCTCTATATTTGTCAACAGTGTAATAGAGATTTCGTGGCCGGCAGATAAACATTTAATTGTTTAATTAAAGAATGTCTATCAAAATATGCGAACTCTTTAAATATGGCGTTTCATATTAATAAGAAATAATTTCGGATTAAAGAATCAATTAATTGCTTGAAAATAATATTGTTTACATTTCGGTTATGAAAAGACATTTAGCTGATATTGATTTCGTAATTCTTCAAAAATAGATTTTATATGTTAAAATTGGATAATTGGGCTATGCTATGTTTTTTTTTCTGGAAAGACCACCCATAGCTGTGAATAGTAAAACATTTAAATGGTATATGGATGGAGCGTTTAGTGCTTGAGATGGATTTCAATGTAAAAAAAAACAAGAAACATTGATATTTAATATGGAATCAGTCAGATATTTGCCCTATTTACATTGTTCGAACCGTTGTCTTCATTTTTCTTTATTTTAAAAATGAGGAATAAAAGCCTTCGTTGAGGTAATCCAAGATGACTTGACCTAAATTGTTGTCAGTTCAATACTTGGCCATAGAGGTGAACAAAAACTTGGACAGTTGAATTACTAAAGGGAAGTAACTGTAACTGAGATATCCAAAAATGGCATGGCACATAAACTAAATAATGTGTCCGGTTCAAAATTCCAAAGTATATCATCTGAAGAAGCTCAGCGCGTACAACGGCCGAAGCGCCGTGAATGTAGGAACGAAGATGAGGACAACAATCCGAATGTAAATAATTTACTATTCCTTAATTTAGAAATAGAGACAGATCAATCAGCTATATATTTGAATTCAGAGAACAACATTTTTCGCGTATATTCTGTAGTCTATAGTTCTATAGGTCATCATTAGTGGGGTTTATAACTGAGTCTATAAGAAATATCAGTCGGGTTTTGATTTGAATATATTCAACAAGACTGACTGGGTTTCTACTTTTTTAAACATTTAAATTAATATCCGCCGGCCTAGAGTTTTCTGTTATACTCTATATGCGAGTGGTGATAAAAATGAAATGAGATTTTGTCATATTTTTTTTTAGTCAAATTGATAATATTTGATATTTAATATATTTCGTCCTGATTAATACGAGTCAGTGAAAATTTTGAAATATATCGCTATATTTATGTAAATTCAAATTTTGACCAGGCTATGGCAAAGAACAAAAATTGAGGTCAAGAAAAAAAGAAAAAGAAAACCATAAGAAAATCTATAGCCCTTAAATATATAACCCTCAAATTTATAACCCTTAAATGAAAAAAGATTAATGGCTTATTTTATGCGGAAAAAGAAATGGAAAGTTGCAAGTTAATGCAATTCCAAATCCTTCAGAAAACGCACACATGCACACAGAATCATACCATAACACACACAAATATATTCCTATGTAATTACTTAAATATACAAACACTCAAGTGAATATTTTTCACGACGCTCTTCTTGAAAATGGATTATTTTTGTTATCTTTCTTTTCAATGCATTTAAAGTATTCGACATTATTATATCAATCAGTTCTTGTTCCGTTTTCAGCAAACATGTTGCTTATATTCGAAAGATATATACCGCATTTCGGTCATCAATTTGGCTAAGTAATTCGCAAAACGGAGTTAATGTCGATAAGTGAACAACCATAAACCTAATTGCTTCCTTTCTAATTACATATAGATGATTGTATAATTGTTTTCTTATTGTTTCTTTTCCGACCTTTTGTTAGTATAGATTGTAAACATTAATCTCGTACCAGAAAAATAAAATTGCAATTGGAAAACGTATACCACGCTAATCATTATCTTCCGAGAAAAAGTCACTTGACATATTAGCTGTCTACATGAGTTCCAACATCAAACACTACCGACGGTAGGATTTCGGATTCTTTTTAAACGATATATAATTGCAACATATGTGTGATTATGGCTCTCCCTAATTTCCTATTTTTATGCTTGAAATAAAGCTTACCACTTTACAACCTGTCTTTTTTGGTCCACGTTCTTTAAATCGACACGTTATCTTATTGGATTTCCCTTCTTTTTCAGCAATGTCTGCGAGGGTTAAAGACACCGAGTGATCTGAACTCATCATATGGTCAAATAATTTTAGCAGTGGTTTTCTGATTGTTAGCTGCGTTTCTAGTTTTTTTTTTAATAATTTTTATTCATTTTAAAACTTTCTCAGAAATACATATGTGTATACATTATTATTATAGTCTGAATCTGTCCAATTTTAGATAGATAAGGATGTCGGGTATAGGAATGCGTTCTTAGACAATTCGCCAGTTTATGAAATTTATACTCACCAATTACATTTTTGAAAGTTCCTTCAGTAAAAATTAATTGGCTAATTATGGAAACTGAATTCTAAATTTTTTAAGGTCCTATTCTATAGCAATCAATATTTTAAATGCTCTTTTCCTATAGTGTTTGTTTTTTGAATGAATAACGTTTCAGTTTGAAGGGAGATTGCCAACCAAAACTGAAAGTCTGTATGATTTGGATTAGTGAGTTTTGTTAGAAAAATATTCCCCGGAATAATTCATCGAATTAGACATACTATTTGGAAAGGAATTATAAGAATGGTACAAACCTTTGTCCAAAGAACAAAACCAGCCATGGATGATCGTTGAATCATGTTGAAGAAAATTTATTTGTTGATAAAATTACTTAAATATTGTTGATTTTTTTTCGACTAATTGATGGAGGAAATATCTGCATTTTTATTAAGTCAATTTCTGTTTCTTTCAACATATGGGAATATTTCAGGTTATAGTTTCCTTTAGGAAAGAGATTTCTTAGTTTCGTGAGTGTATGTAAGTATCAAGGGCGCTAAGCATAGATTTCTTTGAAATATAATGCATATATAGATTCGTACGAGTGTATCTTTATTTATATGCACACATATCTACGATATAAAAATATAAGCAAACGGATAAAAAATATTAATGCAGTTCCGCCTGCTGAAGAAAATCTCATCATTTTTCAAGAATGACAGTACGCTAGATATGTTTTTCAATACTATCTACCCATTTCAAGATTGAAAAATTAAAAAGGGTGTGTAAGTAAAAAAAGAATATACTGAGATCTAAAGAGGTTTAGCTAAGTGACGACATAATGTTTGCTAGAAAAGGAAAAAGTACTTAAAATGCGATACTTAGGGTAAAAACTTTTACTAATGTTGATTGAAACCCATGAAATGCTTTCCTCGACAAAGAATATAAATACACAACCACGAATATATATATATATATATATATATATATATATATATATATATATGTGTGTGTCTCTGTGTGTGTGGAGAGAGATTGAAAAATATTCGTATATATTAAGTTATGCCTGATCTAAGGGCGATTGATATGTGCAAGCGCATAAAAATGAAAGGTGTAGAAATAAAGTTCAGTGTCGTGGAAATGGATGTTTTTTATTGCTTATCATCGACAAAATCACAATATTTAAAATTATATTTCAGTATATTATTTTTGCAATTTAGATATTTTTTTTGATAGTTGCTTCGATATAAGTGCACAAAAATATGCATTCATAATCCTCTCAGGAGCATATTTTGTTATTCCAGTTGAATTTCAATGCAGATCTTATATATGCATATGTATATGATGTTTGACATATGACTTTGAGTCCCAGGAGTCTGCTTCGAGGCAAATCTATGTTTAAATATACAAAAAATATTTGCATTTTTTACTATTACTGAATTAGTGGAATAAATATTATTGTACACTTATTCTTAGCTGTGTGATTTCCAATACTCTCTAGGCATCCTTACCGAGATTTAAAATATTCTACCAGTGCTTCTGTGATGCATTTGTACTCCCTGATTTTTTTGCGATGTTAGATATAGAAGTATAGTGTCAAATGTTTTGCTTTATTTCTTTCTGCAGAAGACCCTGTTTTTGTTAGTATTTTTGTATAATTTTAGATCTTCTATGGTTTTGCGAGATCATTATACAAAAAACCACACACAACAACATTCACAATAAAGAAAAACTTAAACTGCAATTCCATAAATGTGATTGATTCCCTCAAGTTCACAAAATGCAAAAAATCTTATATAGGTATCACCCAAATACTAAACCGCAGGGTTTCCTTTCACAACATTAAATTACCAAAAAACTGGAAACTCTTTTTGTCATAGATGTAGCGAATGTAAATTTAAAATTATGCTAATATATCAAACAGATGATTACTGTTACCTACAAATACAAGAAAAACTTCATAGACAAATTTAAACGAACATTAAACAAATCATAACCCCACACACATAAACACACACGATACACAAATAGTGTTAAAAAATAGTCGGACTGCACACACACACACACACACACACACACACACACACACCATACAAGATATTTGTAGTTACTGTATAGATTTATAATAAAATAATACATAGTATATTTGTATGGAGAACGAATATATACACATATACTTACAAAAACAAACACACAAGACGGACCCAACGCGCACACACATAGGCACACACGCACGAACTCTACACACCATACAATTTGTGTATGTATATATACTATACACTTGTAATCAAACATTATATATATATATAGATAGATAGATAGATAGATAGATAGATAGATATGAAGAAGGAATATATATACACATACTAGCAAAAACCTACAACACATAAAAATGAGGAACCGTTTAAAAAGATAGAGGACATAAACAAATAAGAAAAAAGACCTCATTCCTTCTCATTTCTCTGACCAAAATCCTAATTCATTTATTTTACCCCTTAAGCAAAGGAATATTTTTCCTCCAGTCCAAAAAGAATTTGGATTACTACCACACACAAAAGACAATGGTCTAACATAAGAAAATATAAGAAAAATGAATTCCTTTCAATAATATGTGAAAATAACCATTCTTCAGCTGATGAAGACCCAAAACACGTGTAGCAAAAGATATGGAAAATAAAGTGTCATAATAAAACCCACATTATAATCAAAATCTTTTGCAGCTTCTCTTTTCTTGCACAGTGTATTATTCTTTTGGCATCTAACCTCCGCATTTTTGATATGATGTCGCCTCGGTTACGCTCACACAGAATATTTGCTGCTTTTAGTTTGACAAAGAAATCGTGAAATTCAAAAACATTTTAAAAAGGTTTTATTTATTTCTTTTTTTTTTCCTGTTTAATGTTCATATCAAGAAAAAACCGTACACTTTTTGTCGCCCTCTGAAAATATGAATATCAGCTACAGAGACTGCAAAATGAAAACCTTTATCGTAAAGAGCATACTCACAAGAAAGATACACAAGTTTTGAGTTGGTGTCAGATTTGATTGTCTTCAGATTGATTTTTTTTTTCTATTTCACCTCCTCTGAATTTCGAACGTTCCCCACTCCCGAACATTTTTTGTCTGCTAAAAACTGGACCTTGTAAATGAAGCAAGAATCGAGCGGACGATTGTGACGGCGCAGATGAAGTATTAGTAATGCTAATATTGATGATAAGCATTGAGAAGTTGATAGGAATATTCATTCTTAGAAATTGACTGCAAAAAAGAGATAAAAAAAGAATCAGAGTGAAGTAGAAAAAATGGATGACGAAGAAAAAAGGAACGAAGAGAAATGAAAGAGAACCAATCATGAAAATTAAGGAAAAGTCGAAGAAAGAAAAATCGAGTAGATTTGAAAACCAAAAAAAAACATTAGAAAAGCTAAACTCTAGACTCAAGAAGGAAAGAAAAATATCATAAAGTAAACGTAGAAAGAAAAGGAAAGGAAAAATGAAGAGGAGGTGAATTAAGCAAAAATGATTATCACCTTCTTCGAAATCATGATGGTAAAAGAGAAAAAGCCAAATGGATTATATTCCTTTGTATTATTTTTTTTTAGCTTGTCAATATGCGCTACATGTCTGTTGGAATTGATGTCAAAGGCAGGATTCTTTCGATGATTCTTTCTTTGGCTACGTTTTTTCAACACTTTCGTAAAGCCTGCAGTGTTTCGCATCATTTTATTTTCTCTGACTTTGCCAATGAAGAATTTCTTCGTCACCTTTTGCCTGAGTTTCTTTCATCTTTATTTTAATATGGTTTCTCTTCCCTTTCATTTCCTCAACCATCACATTTTCACTTGTTGATTATGAAATCGACTCGTCAGTCTGACACGCCTATTGTGTGACTATACGTGTGCGTGTGGATGTGTGCTTGAGCATGTGTGTGTGTGTGTGTGGATGTGTGAGTGTGTCTGTGTGCATGCAGGTGAACTGTAATATATCAATTTATCTACTTCAGATATAGACCAGTATTTTTAGTATTGCATATAATATATTATGTTCTTTTTAGAAAAAAGCTGCAATTATTTTCGCTTATAAAACCTGTGATACATTTGCCCTTCTATATGAAACCCTTCGGTCTGTTCGGTAAAGAAAGTAGATTTCCTTTTGTTGTGTCTTTTTGTTGCTTTGTAGGATTGATTTGAACACATTAATTAAATAAAACTTGGCTTATTTTTAATATTAAATATTTCGAAAACTAATCGCAATCATACAAGACCTAATTCTATTTTATCTACCAGATATTGTTGACGATTTCTACTATGCTCTTGCTAATTACCTTGGGTTCCTTGATAAAATCAGTAATATTATTGTTTGTTATCTGGCATCTCGACCTCAGTCATTTTCCCGCCGCAGTAAATTTGCCTCTTTTCCATTAATACTTTCATAGTAATTTTTCGGATGAGCTCTTCGCTATGGTACCTAGTTTTTTTATGAATTTAAGGGCAGTATTATAAAGGCATCAAGATCTCATCAATCTGCAGTAGAGCTGACTAAATATAGTCGTATGTTCAATTCTAACAGTTTTCTTTCTCGCAATTCTCGATTGTGAAATCTCCCCTCTTTGTTTTTCCAGCTAAATTTAATCTGCAAAAATTTAAATGCATTGTCAATCGCTATCTACTGTTCCCTTGATTAATCTTTTCCCTTCCTGCTCATTATTAAAGTTTCTGTTCTTAATTCTTCCAGACCTTGTAACTGATTTAGTCTTAGAGGTTTTACTGCCTTGCATGGTGTGATACTGATTTAAAAATAAAATCGCCATTTTGCTTCAGAACGTGGGCTCTGCATGAATTTCTATCCGAATAATTTTTCTCCATCCACCATCTCCCTTCAGGCCCATTTACATAGATGTCTCGCTTAGTTTATTAATTGCATTCTTCTGTCCATCTTGCAGCTAATATTTCCAATGCGCGTCAAATTCTCCAAGTTCTTATTATTTGTACTAGACATTTCAACCGTCTCATTCTGATTGTAAATATACGACCATTGCGAGTTCGTTAATGATACTTGAACAAGGAATGAGATATTTATGTACATAATGATCGCAAAAAGAGCAATACAAATGCAAAAGTATTTTTACCTATGTTTCCATTTTTTTAATTTACTCTATTTACTTACATGTTTTCTTACAATTCATTCTTTTTTCTTTCGAATGAAAACTTTATGCTTTTTAATAATTTACTTACCATTTGAGAGGCATTTTTCGCTATGACGTATTTTCTGTCATCTGTTACCTCACATCCCAGATATTTCAATTTTCCTGCGTGTTTGATTTTAGTATTACCAATTGATATATGGAATTTTTGGTAATTTCTATATTTGATAATCATACATTCTGCATTCTTACAACTGATATTTAGCCCTTCCTTCTCATTTTCCTATGCTGACTTCTGTAGGAATCCCTGCGGTTTACTTTCTGTTACTGCTATCAATACTGTGTCATCTGCATATCTTCTATTGTTAAGATTGTGGGTACCAAAATTAAATCATGTTTGGCCTTCTATCAGAACAGTCTAGCTGTAAAGATTGAATAAATCTGATGAGAATATAAATATATCCATGTCTTGCACCACATTCAATATTCAGGTATTTAATGAATTTATTTTCTACTAGCATGCAGGCAATTCGCTCCAAGTAGACATTCTGTATGATTCTGTTTCCCAAACAAATCAAGATTTCCCATTGGCTCAAACAGTAATTTGGGCCGTAACTTATCAAACGCATTTGCGTAATTAATAAAAAAAATAGTTATCCATATTCTTTGCATTGCCTTTTGTGTGATCATTCGGCACATACATATCTCGTTCCTTGTTCCAGAATCTTTTACGAAATCCCACACACATATGCATATATATATATATATATATATATATATATATATATATATATATATATATATATATATATATATATATATATATACGCGTATGTGTTCGTGTAGAATTGCGCATGTTCATTAGTGCAGTGTTCTAACACTAGTACAGCAACTAGTGAAAATTTTCTTCCCAAACACAAGGATCTTCAATGTTCTATCGGAAAATGCTGAGAATAACATGCATACAACTGGAAAGTTTTAAAATGAATAGAAATAAAAAAAAATAGAAACGCTGCTATCATTCAGAAAGCGACTGTTAAAATTATTTGGCCATAAGATGGTTTCAGATCGTTCGGCGTCTTTAACACACGCAGGTATTGCTGGGAAAGCGAATATGATTAGCAAGCGCCTCGTTGTGAAATAAAAAATGGCGATACTAAATAGATTATTTTAAACTTTAGTAATAAAACAAATATTATAAAAAGAAAGCTGTTAGAACAGACATATAAATATCTCGAAATAATTGCACCGACATCTTTTTGTTGGTACAAAATTTATTGTGAAAAATTGACTTGCCAAATAAAATTGAAATTGAAATATTTCTATATTATCAAACAAAATGATTTTCACTCGGTAAAATATTTATTAGGGATGCTTTTTATTACAGAAAAGAAGAAAGTATTTTGTGAAAAATAATACAGATTCCCAAAAAATAACAATACTCACATTTAAAACAATCACTTTCTTTTACATAAACAGTAAATGTTTATCAAAAATGTTTTACATAAACAGTAAATGTTTATAAAAAAAACTTATATACCCGTTTAAGAAAATATGCTGATTATAGACCCTCATGCAATATATATATATATATATATATATATATATATATATATATATATGTGTGTGTGTGTGTGTGTGTGTGTGTGTGTGTGTGTGTGTGTGTGTATAAGCTAACGATAACAGTTTTGGGAAAATTATGACAAATTGGAAAAGGTTGTAATGCTTTTTTCTCCTTCAGTCCGTTGAATTCCTGAAGTATGAAACACCAGTCTGACACACAATTTCACTATATATATATATATATATATATATATATATATATATATATATATATATATATATATATATATATATATATATCGTAAGGGCGATGAATAGATTATTGTCATTTTATATTTTTATTTTCCCGCATGGGCATTGTTTGTTTTTGATTTTGTCGACTGCAGTATATTATTGTCAGTTGGGTACAGTCTGTGAGAAAAAGAGCGCCATGATGCAGTTCACTACGCCAGATATTTGGAAAGAGCTTGGCATTCGCCCCCGGAAGATCCAATATGAACATTTCAGTGTGTTTGGGTGTTAATCTGGTGAGAGTGAAGAAGATACGAATGAGTTAGGTGAGAGTCTCATTGAGATTATGAAGGCGTTTGGCGTTATCACGAGTTATGCTGAGGTTATGCCTCCATTGAACTTTCCACATAGCCTCAAACTCAAAACGAAGGCCTACAAGTG